TGTCTTGTAATTTATTTATGATTTACTTACTTTAAATAAAGATTATGCGAAGCTACCGCACTTAAAAAAAAAAAAAAAAAAAAAAAAAGGTAAATTAATCTCAGAAGGTCATTTTCCTAGCTCACACCCCATATATTAAAAATTATTTTTCTATATAATAAAACTCAAAAAGCAATTTGTTATTACTTTTATTTTAAAATAATAAAAATAACAATAGAATAATAGAATATTTAGTTAGATATAGTAAATATATCTGTGAAAAATCTGATTAATAATAAAATTAAATAAAAAATAATAAAAAGAAAGTAGATTGAATTATGGATTATAAATAATATTAAATAATTATTATATAAACATTAGAAAAATATATATAAGATAGAAACCTTTAGAAACTAAATTAATCTTAAAAGGATGATATTAAGTTATTATCTTAATAGTTTTGATAGTTACTGATATTATAAAAAAGTTAAAAATTATTCATATAATTATTATAGTAAACTTACTGCTTCATTTTATAGAGAAAGTGGTTTACATTATTAGATAATCTTATTGATAATATTATAATTAATTATGAGTTAAGACTCTAAAATTAGACTTAAATATAACTATATCAATATATTTAAAGGATTTTATGTGAGATTTGGCATATATGGGATGTGTGCTGGGAAAAAGGACCAAATCGACAAAAAATTTTTTTTGAAATAACAAATGATCTGAATCAGATGACCAAATCTACATCTATTTTACTTAGGAACTTTTTTTTTAAAAAAAAAATCAATTTGGTCCATTTTCCCAGCACTCACCCCATATATCTCCAGAAGTTAATTACAGAAATTATACTTAGTTTTTCTAAAAGAAATACTTTGAATGTGTTTTAGCATACCAAAAAAGTTAAATAGGCTAGAATGAATTCTATAGATTCTTTCTATTCTAGACAAAGTCTAACCTCTGGATTAATATTGCATATATATCAGCATATGTATATATAAGGAGAAATTAATAATAAAAAAGCATTAAAAGTTAATATACTTAAAAATTAAATAAATAATATAAATGCATCATTAGAAGGCAATAGCAAAAAGTTTTTTTTAGACAGTAACAATTAATAAAAAAAATTAATATAATAATCAATAAATTTTGGTCTTAACCGGATCTTTTTTTCGAAATTTAATTTGCTACAAAATTAGTTTTGTTTTTTATCGGGGGGCTACAATAGCCTCACATTAAGCCACTTTTAAGTTGCATCCACCCCAAAAAATCCTACCTAATGATTCTCAAATTTATCATATTTAGAATTTAACAAACAACAGCCACAAGAATTTTTAAGCATTTCTAACGAGCAAAAATTAAATTGGAAACTTGAAGAAATTTTTTATTTGATTATTTGATACTTAAGCAAAATAATTTGATTGGTGTTCAACCTCAAATAAAATATTTAATAAGTTGTAATTAAAAAAAACAAAAAAAATTGCCGTATTCTGATATATTCGAATTTACAAAATTAATTTTTCACGAAAAATGTAAAATGACTAAATATTTAAATAATAATACTTAGTAATTTCGGAAAAAAGCTTTTTAAAACCATCGAAAAAAAGACTATTTATGGGCGCCTGGACTTGATTTTCTAAAAACAGTAATTTCTCATTATTTCATAAATAATTTTTTTTTAAGAGTTGGTAAAAGAATGATATCATTGAAATAGATTTAATGATGTGATTAAGTAAGTAATTATATTTATATATGATTACAAAACCGATTTTTAAATATTGTTTTTGCATTTTTATGGTATAAAAATATTTCCTTACCCGTAAACAAGAAAATTGGTCTTGTTATTGTCTTAAAGTAATGGTATGGTAGGGGGGGAAAAGATCCAGAAAGCCAGTTTTATTGATGGTCTGATTACAAAAAAGGTATAATCTAATGGGATATGAATCCGAAGGCTATATTTAAAGTTCCGCCACCGGCCGGCCGGTATTAGGAATATTGATCTGAGCTCAGAAAATGATTAAAATATTTGTTTAATAACGATCCTTTGCGTTTGACTTAGTTTCGTAGCAATTTTTAACTCCTTGTCTTTCTTTTAATGTGGAACTTTGTGTAGTACATCAATTTTATTTTCATTCTATTTCATAGACGCCACCAAAACTTATTCGTGAGAAATATTTAAATATACACGTGCTCAGTAGTAGAGATTTACCAAAAAGGTTAGCAGCTTTAACTACATATTATTTTAAATGTTAAGCTGAATCAAACGTATTTATTTTATCGTTTTTATTGCCACCGTTATTAATATTATAGAAGACCAATTGCCCATTCATTAATCTTAAATTGTCTTTTATTAATATAAAAAAAATGGATGAAATACCAATATCTTTTTTTTAAAAAAAAAACGATTGCGCCTTCTAAGCAATCCCATATTTAGTAAATGAAGCCACTTTTCCAAATATCAAAAAAAAAACTCATTGCCTATTTTGGAATATCGATCAATTATTATAAAAAGGTGAGAATTTCTCTTCCATAAATTTGGGTTTATGGCTTAGAAACATTTCTTCATTTTAAAATGTTAAAATATGACTGATATTGATGAAACATCACAACAAAAGATAAGTAACGAAGACGAGGAAGAAGAACATGGTGTGATTTTATCAGAGGGGCATTTTGATCCACAAAAATGGCCATATTTAAAGAAATTTCGTATCATTTTTCTTATATCCTTACCGACATTTCTTAGTCCATTATCAAATGCGTAAGTATGGAAGTGAGACTCCAACAAATTTATTTATTTTTAGAAATAATAATATCATTTTTCATAGATTTTTATACCCCGCAATATTGGAGATAAAAAAAGATTTTAATACCAGCGCAGAATTTGTAAATTTATTATGTAAGTACAATTGCATTTAAAATTGCCAAGTGACAAAGACAATAAATAAAAAATAAATTGTAAGGTTAAAATAAAATCTATCCTTATGTATATTTAGTTGCAATTTTTATCATTGTTCGAGGATTAACAGTAAGTTTCCTTTAAAAGAAAATCTCCTCCTCTTCTCTTCTCTTCTAATCTTTTTTTTTTCTTTTATATAATAGCCAATATTTTGGTCATCATATTCGGATCAACTTAGAACCAGAAAAAAAGTGTATTTATCTTCATTGCTATTATTCACAATGAGCAATATAATTTGTGGATATTCAAAAAACATTCAGGAATTGATAATATTCAGAGCATTACAATCTCTCGGAATTTCAGCTGCTTTTAGTCTTGGTGGAGGAACCATTAGTGACTTATTCATTCCAAGTGGTAAACTTTTAAAATCTTTATTCTTTTTATCTCTTTGTTTAATGGAAAAAACTTGTCTCTTTCAATAACCTTCCGGCTTGATTAGAACGAGGAAGAGTATATGCCACTTACCTTATCGGATATTTTATTGCGTTTGCAACTGGTCCACTCATTGGTGGTTTGATAACACAATGGTTAGGATGGCGTTGGATATTTTATGTACTAGCAATATCCGGAGGAGTAATCCTTTTACTGTTAGCATCCTTCTTACCTGAGACATTTCGACCGTCACAAGGATCACTTCGATCAATAAAAAAACATCGAATTCAAATTGTAAGAGTAACAAGTCCAAATCACCATCGGAAGAGTCAAAATCATTTATACAAAGAAAGCGGTATAATCCTTTATCACCTTTAAAATTATTACTGCAATTAAATATCACATTATCAATTTTTAGTAAATCAATAGCCTTTTCGATTATGTATATACAAAGTCTATTAATTATAGAACAGTTTTCCTCTGATTATGATTTGTCAAGTTTATACATTTTATTGGTTTTTTTGAGTCCTACTGTCAGTTATTTGATCGGTAATTTTATAACTGGAAAATATTCTGATTTACTCGTTAAATATGAAAGTGATAAAGAATTGATAAAAGAGAAGGAAAGAACAAAAGAAAAGGAAAGGCAGGAAAAAATGAGTGATGATATACAAGTGATAAAAGAAGATTATGTTATCTATAATTATCCTGTAATGAGAATTAGAGTAGCATTCTATTCAAGTTTGTTAGTACCTTTATTTATAGCAGCATTTGGATGGTTAATTCAGAACAGAGTTCACGTTGCAATACCATTAATATGCTCACTCATAGGTAAGTTTATATTAAAATCTCAAATCGAAAATTTTTTTTTTTTTAAAAAAATATTTATTTAAAATTCTTATAGCTGGAATTGGATTACAAGGTCAATGTAATTGTGTTTCAACGTATCTAATTGATGCTTGTCCAGGAAAAAGTGCTTCGGCGTTAGCTTTAAGTGAATTCTTTTCATATTTGTTGGTTGCTATTGTAATTTTATTATTTAAACCTCTAGAGGTTATTTTAGGTATTGGTTGGACCTTTTCTATTATGGCACTTTTTAGTTTCCTTTGTATTGTTCTTTTGTTTATTGTATTAAGATTTGATGAAAGGTGGAGAGGTGTTAATACCTTGTAAAGAGAATTGCACGTCTGAAATGTGTGACAGGTTATACCGAATATATTGCTTAGGGTAAGTCAATTAGCCGGACTGTCATAATTTCGACATTTATTTTTCGTGAAAATAAGTTTACTTGAATTTTTCGTAAATTTTTTTTCGAAAATAATAATAAGTAAAATTGTTTATACTTTAATAAATAAATAGTTTAAATTGCTTGTATGCTTCGTATTTTCCAATATTAAAAACTTGTTTATTTTAAAATTAACAAATAAAACCATGTATATATAGAAATTAAAAAAAAAGTAAATATGTTAAATAAATATTTTTATAAATAATAATAAAATTAATAATAAAAATAAAAAAATAAAATACCTTCAATTGATTCGATTTTCAGCAATATGCATGCTTAAATTATGTTCCTTTTTGCCCGTTTTTTTTCTTTCGGGTAGGAATAATTTGGGGATCCATATTTTCCTTTCCTTCACGGATATGAGCAGATATTTTTCGTTTTCCACCACCAGATTTTTCCGTTTTTCTTCTTTTGATTGATTCAACTTGAACACGGATCATTGAACCACTCTTAACATAGGATAGGCTGTTGGGTCTAAATCACGATTAAGATCGTAAAGAAAAGAGACAACCTTGGAATAGATTTCGATTTGGTAGCGACGTTCTGCAAACTTATTCAATGCATGTATTTGTGAACCACCATTTTGATAATCTTCTTTAATTTCTTCTAAGAAAGCGTTAAATATAAAAGTATTAGTTTCTTCATCGCCTTCATTCTCTTCATTTGGCTCCCTATAAAAATCAATTATTTAAATATTATCATTTTCTAAACTTAATACACCTCCATTTAGCAGTTCCATTATTAAAGAAATCATTCAATAGCATAGGTTCTTGATTTGTAAACAAGGTCCAGCTCGCAACGATGCATAAAAAGAATTATTTTCAGCTAAATAACCTAAAAATAAATTTATTAAATAAATTAATATAGTTCATTAAGTTCATTAAAGATAAAAAAAGTATAATACCTCTTACTTACCAAGTGCGATATAACTATATACAGTGGCGATCATAAATTATGCAACAAAAATATTTCTGGAAATAAATAATTTTTTTTTTTGTTATTTTTATTATTAATATTATAATTTCCTAATACTAAAATTTAGAATTTAAT